ATACATGGAACTTATATGCTTATGAACTTTATATTTACCATGAATGTGTTATACTGCCATACGAAAGTTTTCTAAGCGACGTACAATGTAATCTCATCGCCATACAGAAAGCCACAAAAATCGCGTGACCCCATTAGGTACTAAGCTGCTGATTCGAGAATTAATTCCATTCCGTTTCGCGGATCCGTTCTCTCGATGCTGCCCGACCCTTCTTCGCATTCCGCGTAGTCACGTTTTGTTTCATTCTTCGTTTCCCTTCATCTCTCGGCTATCTTTCGACGGCATCTCCACTCAATCCAAAGCTCCCTATCAGGGTTGCCAAAACTACAGATTTTTCTGAGCTATCAAATTCAGGAATCTTTATTGACCGATCCCAGATTTTTTAGTTTAAAACAGATTACACAGATTTTTAAATTGTGATCGATCATTTGTTTAAAAACACAATTTTTATTTTCACTTCAGTGTAATTTTCGTTTCACCCATTCTTCCCACATTTTATTTCTTGGATCAAAAAGGAGAAGGAGAACTGTCAGAAGCATTATTTTTTGCTATGTCAGTAGTAATTTATTATAAGTACACACTTAGAAATACCTAATCCTACACGTGACGGAATCCATCTTTGACATAAAGGATGAGACGTAAACAAACATGTCATGTAAAATTAAGTGCTCCGAGACGGGAAAGTTCGAAAGTACGTTTGATTGAGCTGAATTTCGCGTCTATTATGACTCAGTTTTATGTCAAAATTGACGCTCGTATATGTCAGTCTCAGAGCACCTAAATTTACATTAATTTTTCTAAGTGTGTATACACATTTTTTTTCAGTTTTACGACTCTATGTGATAAACTGCTTAATCACTTTGCTTAGAACATTTCAGAGCAAACATTTCAAAGGGGCTTAGTTTTATTTGTAAACAATGCCTTCACTGCCGAGAGAGTAATGTAAACTCTATCATGGTCAATTTTAACTTTTCACCATATTCGAGTTCTGTATCCTTAATGCCACCCAAAAAAACGCCTCGCATGCACACTACGAAAAAGTTATGTAAATTTCCGTGCCCTGAGACCGACACATGCAGGCGGCCCAAATGACATAAGAATCAGTTGAAAAAACGAGAAAATCAATTAAATCAACAGTGCTTTTCGTCGAGTTGCGTATGCTTCGGTTTAGGAACACTTAATTTTACCATGACATGTTTGTTTACGTTCCATAACTTACGTCAAATGAGGATTACGTCTCGTGTAAAAATAGTTATTTCTAAGTGTGTGTACAAAATTTGATTATGAAGTACGCAGACAAAGTGAAGTTGGCCATGCATTTTCGGAGAAAAAGTTAATTTTATTCACTATTTCTACACATAAGTAACGTACACCATACAAAAATGCTGAAAAATTAAAAGCTATTTTTAAAATAAGGGTTCATAATTTTAGCTTTGTTTAGATCTTTTTTAACAGATCCAGTGATATGTATTGTAAATTTTCGCAATAGTTGCGAGGACAATAAAAAATATCTGTTTTCTGAACAATTCATTAAATGGATCCTCGTTACATCGTCATCTCATGGCAGTTGAACCGTCGATTTCTCGTGAATAAAAGCTCGCTCTTGAGAATTAATGGCACCAACAGGCACCGGTAATCGGGCCAAACGGCCTGCATGCCGTATCGAACGAGAACGGCCAACGAACGTGAACTTTGCAGCCTCTCGTGGTATGGTAGTCCGAAGTGCCTTTTCCCCCCGCAAGGATAGCCAGAAAGCCACCTGACCAACTCACAGAAAACCAAATCGATCACGTTCTAATAGACGGAAATTTTTCTCCTATATTATCAACGTCCGTAAGTATCGCTGTGAGAACATAGATTCGAACCAAAACTCTGGACGGTGCATAACACCCGTCGAAGTCGCACGCTGCGACCCATCAGTGAGCAATTACGGGAAGCCGGAGTGGCCCAGGATTACGCGCAGCAGCTGGAAGTTGCACTACCCACGGAAGAGCAGCTTGGCGCAGCTACTCTTGAAGATGACGAGAGGGACATCCGTTCCGCCATAGGTAGTACTACTGCAGCGGTACTAGGTACTGCGAGCCCGGACCGAAAAAATGACTGGTTTGACGGCGAATGCAAACTGCTAGTAGAGGTGAAGATTGCAGCGCGGACGAGAATGCTTCAACACCGCACGAGATTGAATGAGGAGCGATACAGACAAGCGCGAACAGGCAAAACTCGGTTTTTCGAAGGAAGAATCATCAGCAGTAAGACCGAAATCGCGAGGCGATGGAAAATCTGTACCGCGAGTGTGATATGATTGAGAGGTGGAAGCAGTACTATGACGAGCACCTCAATGGTGATGCAGCAGACAAGATACTCTCCCAAATTCATGGAATCAAATTTTCGAGATCCGACAGGTTCTGCAGAAACGCCTCGAATACAACATACCCACACATCATTTTTTCATCGAATTAAAATCCCCATACGACACAATAGATCGAGATCAGCTATGGCAGTTTATGCACGAGTACGGATTTCCGGATAAACTGACGCGATTGGACAAGGCGACGATGGATCGAGTGATGTGCGTTGTTCCAGTACTGGAGATCAGTGCTGCAAAATATCAATATCAATACTAAAAAATGCTGAATTTCACTAGCCACCTGATGTCAGTATCAGTTCGCACAGTTGGAATATCAATATAATTCGCCTCAATGTCAGTGTGCAAATGACATTGATATTGTAAAGGGACCACTGATATTCAAAGTTCTGTCTCAAATTGTTCTTATATATGCCAACTAATCGTGTACCGATCATTAGAAAACACACCAGTAATATTAAAACAATGCAGCGGTTATATTAAAAAGGTGATTTATTGATATAAAAGTAAGATTTTCAACTTTTCACTAGTGATCCTATGGGTAGTACTGTCAAAGCCGTAGTGCCTGATATCATGCTTACTACGAATATCAGTGTCGGAAGTAAAATTCAGTTCTAGATCAATATCATACGTCAATTGACATTGTTGAAAGCATGCAGTACTGCTGGGGACACTCTCGAGTCCCTTTCAATTTTGAAGGGGGGTACGGCAAGGTTATGAACTTTCGTATCTGCTATTTAACATCGCGGTATAAGGTGTGATCAGAAGAGCTGGGATAGACACGAGTGGCACGCTCTTCAGGAAGTCCATCCAGCTTCTTGCCTTCGCCGATGACATCGACATCATGGCACGGAACTTTGAGACGATGGCGAAAACGTACATCAGACTGAAGGCTGAAGCTAGGTGGATTGGACTTGCCATCAACGCATCAAAGACAACTTACATGAAAGGAAGAGGTTCTAGGGAAGACAGTGTTAGCTTCTCACTCCGAGTTCAGATTGACGGTGACGAAATCGAGGTGGTCGACGAGTTTGTATATTTGGACTCACTGGTGACGCCCAAAAACGACTCAAAGATGCATTATGGCTGGGAAGCGTGCCTACTTTGGAATCCGGAGGACGCTTATATAAAAAAAAATCGCCGCCACACGAAGTTGACTATCTACAAGACGCTGATTAGACCGGTGGTCCTCTACGGCCACGAGACCTGGACTATGCTCGTGGAGGACCAATGCGCCCTTGGTGTTTTCTAACAGAAGGTGCTGCGTACCATTTACGGTAGACTGCAGATGGATGACGGAACGTGGATAAGGCGAATGAACCACGAATTGTATCAGCTGCTGGGAGAAACATCCATCGTCCACATTGCAAAACTTGGGCGACTACGGTGGGCTGGGCAAGTCGCAAGAATGCCGCACCACGACCTAGTGAAAATTGATCTCGAAAGCGACCCAACAGGAACAAGAAGAAGAAGCGCGCAGCGAGCAAGGTAGATCGACCAAGTAGTAGGCGAAATGTGGATCCATCGCACACTACGAGGCTGGCGAAGTGTGGCCATGGATCGAGTGAGTGGAAATGACATCAAGGCGAGAAATCGATGTTTAAAGCCATTGTTTTCAAAAGCAATTACGCCCCTTTGAAATGTTGGCACAGATTTGTATAGGATTCTTCTTCGTCTTCATCGCATTTCAAGCTTAATGCTTTTCGCATTTTAGCTTATTGCGTGCTCTCAACTTAGTTTTCTAGATGCACTTCCACAGTTATTAATGGATCATTGAAGATGCTGAGGTTTCGACAGCACCGTACTGTGGCTACCACAGTATTTTACATTGGTTCGTCCGTATACAGTAGCGCCAAATGAAAGCTGTGGTGGGTTCAAAACTCAGCCATCTAAAATGATCCATTGAGAGCTTTCGATGCCTGTACCATTTTTGCATTAGTATAATTGTGTGGCAAGTACAATCATACTCTATGCCCAGGGAAGTCGAGAAATTTTCCAACCCGAAAAATTCCTAGACCGGACCGGGAATCGAATCCAACCACCTCCAGCATGGTCTTGCTTTGTAGCTGCGCCTTTACCGACTGAGCTAAGGGAGGCCCCTAATTTGTATAGGATGTAATTCATAAATTAAAATATATACAGATATCATCAAAGATTTTCTGGACCAAATATAAGATGAAATATGTTTTAGAACAAAAACACAGATTTCCTTTTGGCAACCCTGCTCCCTACCTTTCTCAAAAAAAAAAAAAACATTCGAAACATTCATATCCGCGCTGGGACACCGTATCGCGTAACGCATATCAACAACATCCAAATTTGGATAAACATACACACCACACAACCCATACCGTTCCATTCGCGTTCCGGGGCAGTTGCTTTCTGGTCAACCTGATGGCTGATGGAGGAGGTGTCTGCTGTGAGTGCCTACGCTTTGCTTGTTTTGTTAAACTCGCCGATCGGATGATGATGGTGTCGCAGATAATAATGAACCGCGGTGGTTTCGGTGGTTGACCGAAAATTATACGCTTCGCAAAGGGACTATTTTGTTAGTGGGTAATTTTTCCTTTTGGCATTCATATGTTCTGACCCCCGAGAGAGGTAGCATGTTTAATTAATCGGACCGTTTACTCACCGGGTAATGGATGGAGGCACGCCGCGACTGTGGTGTATATTTCGTTTCTGAAATGAACGTGAGAAAGGGAGAAAAGCAAAATTGGTAATTACTTAATATTCATTAATTAAAAACGATTTCATTCAAAACAGTGCAGTTCGATCAAGCTAATGGGGGGAAAGAACGTATCTTAATGAAGCCATTTTCCAGTATAGCTGATGGTGGAGATAATTCGCGAAGAGATTCGTCGGATAGGAGTTGGCCGTAAATATGTCTGTATCATCGTTCAATACCGCTTAAGGGGGAGTTGATTTTTGAACAGCATTACTTATGGGGTGTTTACATATACACTGATTCACTAGCTCAACCAGCTCAACCAACCAGTTGCTCCTGAAATCTCATGCTGGTAGATGGTGACACCCTGTTTACATTAAGCTGACCACTTTTTAGTACAGTTTCAGTTCCATTACCAATAAAAAATACTTATTTTATCTGGCTCATTTTGAATTTAGGTTTAATGTTCCTAATGTCGCCCTAATTGTGCCTGTTGAGCCCATGCCTAAATTGCAAAATATAGCATTTGGGTTTGTTTTCCACAAGAATCCAATAATTACCGTTTATATAGTTTAGTTGACGTTTGATTCAGAGAAAAAAACTGAAGATTGTTAGTAATGGGCCCAATCTTAAGATCCATATGGCAACATTTAAAATATTCCCCCAATAAAAAAATCTAAGAAAAAATAATTCTTAGATTTTTGTAAAAATTGACATGTAATTATTTGTAATTTTATCATGCCACGATGACTTATAAAAAAATGCTTTACTCAAATATATTCTTTAGAATTGTAGAAAAAAAAACTGATTGTTTTCGATTTCTGATTTCTTGTTCTAATATTTTTAGAAAAATCAAATCGTATCAAGTCAAACAAAAATGTGGAATAAAGACACCCCGCAATACGGTTTTAGCAGTAACCAGCCGAAGGGGCATGCAATGATAAAAGTGGCTTTTGAACCAACGAACTCCGTTGGCATTGGTATTAGTCCATACAGGGGCCGCTCAATGAGTGCGTGGGGATTTATCTGCACTGACTGTGGGGGATCTTAGTTTCAAGGCGAAGTGCACCATCATCATCATCAAAGACAGTCGGATATGGCGAACGTATGGTCTCGAGAGAGGGTGTGAAACGATTATTTAATATCGGATATTAATTCGTTAAGAAACGCTTCAATGCTGGCGTGAAGTGGTGAAGCAATGGGGGATTTATTCAATGGCTTTATTCGTTGGTGGTAATATTGATGTGGATTTATTGCGTTATAAAATTAGTCAGAATTATTTCTGCGTCATTTCAACGAGAGAAATACGCGTTTTTTGATAGGATAGTAGGTTATAGGATTGGCGTTTTAAGCATGGAAAAGGAAATCCCAACTAACAATTTTCGCAATTTAAACGCTTTACTCATTTCATTTATACAACCTCAAGCAGTATGTATAATACGATATGAGGAAACCTTTACTCAACCTATATTCAAGCAAATCTGGCGAACTTAGTCAGCTACTTAAATATGACTGTTGGTGACGGTTGGGACAAGCTCTCATTGCATATCTATTTACGCTTCTATTCAGCTGTTATCCTGCTGTTTAGTTGTGTGTGAACTTGAAAGGCGCTTGCTCAACCTTAACCCGATTATCCAATAATCATTACACAGCTTTCTCTTGATGCCAGGTTAAATATTGTTTACGTTTTATGTTTGTTGTTGGAGGAATTTATCATGTTTATTTTACTGCGAATCGAATTAATCGAAACTAGTTATAAGCACACCACCAAATTATTTACGCTGTCCCGGAGAACCTGGAATCGAACTCGAGACGACCACATTGGCGAACCTTGATGCTACCAAGTTCGCTACGCTAACACTTTGAACAGACGTAAACAAATTTACATGCCCTTCTTCAACAAGATTGCTGAGTAGAGGCTTTATAATAGTGCACATGAATCACTTTTCTTGACTAGTTAATTCAGCTTTGTAAACGAGCAGAGTAAAAGCTGTAAAACTACACAAATCTAAAAATAAACCTAGTTGACTGTAAAATAACTTTCAAAGTAGCGCTAACACAGTTTACTAGTTGCGTACAGGTTGTTTAGTTGCTGAAAAAGCACTTTTGATGTTTATGTTATTCAGCAAGAGTGGTTGGTTGTGTAGAAGCCATCAAATGAGTAATATATCCGCTTAATTAGCTTTGTTTTGAAGCTTAAAGTTGAGAGTTGATTAATATTTGCATAGAAGTAACATAAGCGTTTATTGGGTGATGTTATTCAATGTGACTGACAAATTGAATAATGGTTGTGAAAAAGTTGAGTAAACGCTCTCCAAAACAATGTTGCTAGCTTCTGCTTGTTGCTGTATCTGCAGCTTTGTTTCAGCTACTTTACAGCACAATGCTGGAAAACTTGGCTTATAAAGCTGAAAATGTTAGTTGGGAAGCGTATTCTCATTTTTCTAACCATTTTTCACTACCAGTGTTCATGAATCAAATGATGATTGTCCGTTCTAATATGTTCTTAATCCTTGAAAAAAATATCATATTGATTTCACAAGCTCCTTTGATATTAAGATACTATTCACAACATGTAAAAATGAAGCTGAAAATTGACTCGACATAAAACTGATAAAAGAATCCAAGTTAAATTTATGCGTCACTAGAGGCGGGAAATAGTACTACCGTCGTATTTAGTGGATGGTGATAAATTGATTACAACCTGTTCTAATTCCAGAGTTTGAATGATACATTATTGAAAAAAGTTCAAAATAGTGCGATACAATCATTATTATGGATGATACATGTAGGAAATTTGTCGAATAATGTAATGTTATTTTAATTTTCATTTCAATGCCATTGAAAGATTATGTACCGATATAATTAATTTTGTATGATTGCAGATTCTCATCGCGAAATTGACGTCCAAGTCAGTCTGCTGGATATACTGGATTATGTTGGGGACTCCATGCTAGCGGACTTAGAGACCCAGCATATTGTGTGCCTGGGCACAGCAGCAAAACAAGAATTGAGGGGAATGAGTTTGTGCTGCAAAGTTCCTATCCGGAGCGGGGGAGCGACCACATGAAATTAATCTCAGATTACCCCACGACAACAAACTTTGGGACTTATATTCTAAAAAGTCTGCTTCAACAAAATTATGGGAGCATATCCGCTCTATCCCTGTTCCGTAAATAATGGCAACCTTTCTCCACTGCACAAATTTGTTTGTCCCCGAGTTCGGAACCCGAAAAAGTGGAAATTTGTCCTCGTGGCATCCCGGGATAATGCAACGAACCTGCAACAACAAAGAACATGTTAAGCGGTGAAACTTGCGTTTACGTAGTCTAAAAGTCAACTTTTTTCCTGATTGCAAGCAATTATATTATTGAAGCCACTTACCATCTTGTAGAAGACCACTTTTCCTGTATTTGATAAGTTTTTTGATCACCATAACGTACAGAAAAAGGCCAATTTTCAATTTCAAAACTGAAAATTTTTGATGCGAGTCGCCTTTGACAGCTGTTTACATTTGTTCTCACCACTACGACAACAGCGCCTCGGGTGACCGGTGGCAGGTTGGATTTCCCTATTCCGTTGCACATCGTTTTTTTAGAAAGAGATAGTATAGTTTGCTCTTTCTCTTTACTCAACACCGATGGCAGACACGAGGTTGCCAGCAAAGACGGTAGTTTCGCGTCACGTTCCGATGTAAAGCATACACTCAAAAAATTCCACACGTTTGATCGAAGTGCTTAAACACTTGATTTTTTAAATACACAATCACATTTGCTTTAAGTGTATTTCACCTTGGTTCAATGTGTTATACATGTTAATTTCTAGTGTTACAAGCTTTGAAATGTTGAAAATATTTCACTATCTATTCAAGTGTATTGCACTTTGAATCACACTACTGTTCAAAACAGATGGATTTAAAGTGTTTTGCATTTCAATACGACGTGAATTGTTTGCTCAGAAAGGTAAACTCGAAACAAAAGTTGTGACTTTATCCTATCAACCCGCCTCATATATGAGAACAACCGTGGCACAGTGAGATTGAATGAAGACTCCGGCAGCAGCACACCCCAACAGTCCATGATCGAATCCCAAATCAGGCCCATTAAAAAGATATGTTAAAGCTCTGGCCTCTGGAAGTTTTGTTTATATATTTGTCGATTAATGAGTTTTTTTAGAGTCGGTAAAGTAGAAGTCGATAAAGTAGAATAGTGAACTATGATGTGCAAAGCTATTGATATCACCATATAAGGCACATAGAATCCAAGTGTGTCACAATTCAAATGCATAGTGTTCAGGCATGGTTCATAGCATAAGATTCACATATGAAATGGATGTGTTTCACAATAAGCGCAAAATTAAGTGTGAGACACATGATGATGACGTGTGGAATTTTTTGAGTGTAAATCATAAATCTCGAACTCACCATCGTTTGGTTAGAATTGCAGCTGGTGAGTTTTGTTAGCTTGATATTCGTAGCTACGATATCATGGCTTGCTATTTATATCTTCCGCAGTTGCTTGCCTGTTGATTTTTATCTACAAAAATCAAGCATGATCTTGGGCATTGGTGGGATTTGATTTTTTTAATATTTTCCCAGCACTATCTACTACAGTCATGACATTTCTCAAAAATAAAGTTTATGTGAACACTGCTTTGTAAAACAGCTCAATAGCTTTGAATTTGGGTATACCCCATTAGAAGGGCGTCCAACACATTTTTCTTTTCTCGAAAAGTTAACATGATCTCTGCTGGGATGGTAGATTAGGCTACAAAGATGAAAAAAGAACTCCTAAACAGTGGTAAATGAAGTTTGTCAATTCTACTTTATCTACCGACTGAGGACGGTAGTGAAGCAAGTAGCGGCTGCTTGTCAATGGTGCAAGTTGGCGAAAGCAACACCGAAGGTACCGCAAATGGCACCACTCCATACGGCTCGCCTGTCGTCCTTTACCCGACCGTTCACGTACGTTGGAATTGATCTGTTCGGCCCGCTGCCTGTGAAAGTAGGAAGGAC